GTGTGTATACACACACACACACACACACACACACACAGTTAGCATGTGTCCAGGGTCTGAGAGAATAAATTTGGGTCTTAAAGCAAGCAGGATGTGGACAAATAGGATTATTTTTAACGATAAAGAAACGTTCAAACAGCAGCCCTGCCCTTGAAGATAGAACTTCTTACCCTTCTCAGTGTTTCATTATTGGCAGGTATAGGCCGCTTTTGAAACCTGTCTTGGGCTAGGAAAATGATTTTGTTTCCTTGCAGACTTTTGAAGACTGAGTGAAGTTCTATATGACTTTTCCCATTTTCCCTTAAAGAATACACAAGGCTTCATTTATTTGGTGGCGTTCTGGAAAAGCACACACTCTACTTTGTTACGATGGAAGCAGCTGGATTTTCTTTTTTGCCCCTGACCCAGAGCCCTTGTCTTCTGTCCCTGCTCCTGTTTTTTCTTTTCTTTCTATACCTTTCCCCCCAGATTGCCTGCTTTTCCTTTATTCATTCCTCCCTCGTGTCTTTAGTTTTCTTTTTTTTTTTTGCTCACTTCTCTTCCCAGCACCGCTGGCTTCCTCTCCCCCTCCCTGTTTTTTTTTTTTTTTTTTTCCGGTCATTCTCTTCCCCCCTCCCCTCTGCGGCTCAGAGGCCTGCCCGTCCCCTTGCTCCCTCCATCCCCTTAACCCTTGTGCTTGTGGGTGACTCAGCCCCGAGAAGCCTTGAATTGTCTGAGGGTTTTTTTGTCTTGGCTCTTGTCCGTGTGCAGGGTGCACGGTCTCCGAAGCTCTCAGCCCCGGTGGCGGCGGGAGGGGAGAAGGGAAGGAGGCTGAGTCTGGGACAGGTAATCTTCCAACAGAGCCTCCACTCTCGTAACAAAAGGGGGACAGTCCCCTTTTGTCTGGGGCTCCTGAGGGGCGTGGCCAGGGCCTGGAGCCACCACCAGTGGCAGGCAGGAGGAGGAGGCTGCAGGGGTAGGGGCACACCAAGTGTTTCTAATGGAACCCGAGTGATTCTTCTCTGTGTGTGCCCACAGGAGAGAGAGAGAGAGAGAGAGAGACCTTCTCCCCTCCCTCTCCAAGAGTTAGGAATACCCTGGCCCCTGGCCGCTCTTCCAGTAAACTCTCCCTCACACCGCAGACGGGGGGGGGGGGGGCGGGGGGGTGGGCCCCGTGGGAACAGGGTGAGGGGAGAGCACACCCTGGGGATCCACTCTGCCCACCTTCAAGGTTACAGCAACTGGCAGGAGAAGGACAATTGGCGATTGTTCTCCTTCCGTGTTACTCCCCTGGGAAGGGCCTGTTGCTTCTCCTGTTAAGGGATCATTGAGGGGGCGCAGTGGGCCCTGTGTGGATCCCCGAGGCTCTACTGAGACGCTCCACTGGCCCTCCTGGGCCTCTTCTATGTCCAGTCTCTCTGCCACGCCATCGACCTTTGACCCCTCCATCCATCCAGGAGTGACTCATGGATCTTGTCCTATTTCCTTAATTTCCACGTGGATCCTTCCACCTGCCATCTCCCCATCACCCACCCAGCTGTACCAGCGGATTCGGCTTCGGAATCAAGCCGTGTTCGGCACATCTCTTCCACTCAGCCCTGTGGTCTGTGAGACGGAATATGCCAGAATTCTCCAGGAGGCTCATGTTGGTCATATTCTGTGCGGTGTCCAATATTCAGTATAAGTCAAAATACCAGGAAAAGACCCGCATGCCAAATATAAATTCACTTGCAATTTTTACCATCCCATCTTGACTTTAGAAAGATTGCTTCTCCCCAGGTGGAAAGGCAGCAGCGTTTGGTATCTTATGTCACTCAGTTGGCATCTTTGGCTGATCGGACTGAAGCTGGTTATTAACATGATGTTAATTATTGAACCCTACGCTAAGAGGCCTGTCCGCAACGACACCGGCCTCCTGCTTGTTCACCTCTGTTTCTCTTGGGGTCAGCTGTGGGCTCACTTCAGGCCGTTCGGGGACCTGGACTGGGGTCCCAGGCGCTGGCCAGCACCTTTCTCATTGTCAGGGTTCAGCGCCAGCCCAGGGCTGCATGTTTTGCTTTGGCACACCCCAGGCGCTCTTCCGGGAACCTTTCTGCCAGCGTAAACCATTGAGCACAGGGTTTCGGATGGGGAAGAAAGGGGCACGAGTGAGCAGTGACCTTTTTTCTGCTGCCAGCTGAGGGCTGAGCCTCGCCTGGGGAGAGGGGAGCTGTAGGGGAGGGCTCTTGTCTGTGATTTTGGTTTCCCCAAAGTTGCCCTGCTTTTCCTGCTAGAGCCCTTTCCTCTCTGTTGTTTCCTTTCTTAGCTTTTCCCCTCTCGCATCGGTTTCTTTCTGTATGCTCCTGCACCTTGCTCCGTAGGGTTCGGGCCCCTTAGCCTGAACTGAACTGGGGGCTAGGGGAGTGCCGTCCCTGCTCCAGCCAAGAAACCCCAAACACGGATCAAGTGGACGGACGATGGGGGGGGGGGGCAGGGCCAGAGACGGCAAAGAATGAAGCTCCTGGGGGTTGGGGGGAGGCATCATCGTAAGACTCTGTGACTGTTCGGAAGCGGTGTCCATCTTCCTGCCTTTGTCACTTCTCCCTGGGATTGGCTGTTGTGTTTGTGGCTGCATGTAGTGCTTGTCAGCGGAGTGCTGTGACAGGAGGCTATTTTAATAAACTGTTGCAGTTTCCCCGAGCCGAGCTGCATTGCGTTGGCATCCCTCGTCACCGCTAATGGAGCGTGCGTGGCTGGGTGTGGGCTGAGGGAGGCGGTCGAGCTCGCTGGGGGCCTGGGGGTGGGGGTGCACCTCGTCTGGGAGTGCTCCCGCCGGCCGGCGGCAGCCAGGCCCCGGGGAGGAAGGGGTGGCCGCACCCTGGGCGCCAGGTCCCTGCCCTGGAAGTGCGGCTGGCATGGACACTTTCCGAGCTCTCTTTCTTCTTCTCTTTCTATTCATAGCACCGCAGGCTCGCGGGTCTGGCCAGGGAGGAAAACTTCCACTCGCCCCTGTGCGCTCCATAAATAAAAAAAGAAATAGAACCAGAAAGAGAGTGTGAGGGCCTGAGAGAAAGAGACTGAAACCAAAACACAGAGAAGGCGCAGCTGCTCTCCCCAAGGCCTTCTGGGGCGCCCGCCCGAGCCAGGCCTTTATTTATTTCTTTTTCTGGCTTAAAAAAAAGAAAAAAAAAAATCCGTGTCTTCCTCAATCCTAGTCCCCCCAGCCCTACCCCCCCACTCCGAATTTGCTGGCTGGCTGCTGCCAAATGGACCCGAGTGGGAGCCTGGAATGAAAAATTCATAACTGCTGGACTTTGCTTGTTCATTAGACGTGAACTTGTCGATTGGGCAAATTGTTTTTGGTCTCCAACTGCCGGGGGCTCTCCCCACCCTCCCGGCTCGCCTGGTTCCCTCCTCCCCTTGGACACAGCCATTGGCTGCTCGAGGATGTCTCATTGCCAAATAGGTGGATCCTTCTCTCTCCCTCTCTCTCTCTCTCTCTCTCTCTCTCTCTCTCTCTTCCTTCCCCCCCTTTTTACTGATGGGGATTGAGCATGAAAGGGAGAGAGAGGGAGTTTGAGAGAGAAAAGCAAAAAAAAAAAAAATATATATATATATATACATATCTCCAAAATCCAACCAGCACACACACGCACGCACGCACGCGCACACACACACACACACACACCACACTCGCACACACTTACACACACAGCACCATCCCATCCACGTCCTCCCTCGCTCTCTCCCTCTTTCTCTTCTTTCCTCCCTCCCTCCCTTACTCCCTCTCTCTCTTTTGCACGCGTCTGCCAGCGACGGTCTGCAGCCGGTCCGAACTCGTCCTCTTCCCCGGGAATCTGCGAGCTCCCCCTTTGCCTGTGATCAGGCTCAGAGGCGGAGGGAGGCGGCAGAAGTTTACATCCCTGTGCCGCTGCCAAAGCCGAAAGCCTTTTTCTTCAGCTGCCGCCTTCCCCCTCCTGGTTTTTGTTTTTGTTTTGTTTTGCACGGGGTGGGGGGGGGGGTGGAGTGGGGTGGGGGGTGGGGTAGGGTGTGCTGTGTGTTGGGGGTGGTGATTGGGAGGTAGGTTTTGATTTTGAAATTTTGCATATTTTCCTTCTGTCTCTTTTTTCTTAAACTGAAAGAGGATGCACAGGAGGCGAAATTGAACATTTTTTTTTGTTGGCTTTTGTTTACCTGGCGTGTGTGGCAACCGGCTCGCTCCCTCTCTCTGCTTGCTATCCCTGACCTTTCTTTCTTTTTGCTCCTTTTCAAAAAAAATATTAATTTCCCCCTTCTGTGCAATGGAGCGTGGAGGGGGGAGGAGGGGGAAGGGTTTGAGAATCCACCCAAGCCCGGCCCCTATTCCCCAGAACACCAATAATAACCCCCTTTAAAACATTTACCTTCCTCCCCTGCTCCTCCCCCTCCCCCCTCCCCCCACCCGCCCCCAACTCACAACTCTGTTGAGTCCAGAAGCTCAGAATCGGGCGTTGGGCTTTGCCGGGTGCTTCAGATCAATGGTAATTATTTAATTTTTTCCAGTTTTATTTTTGTAAACAGAAATCAATTATTATTTAAACTTCAAACAAGCAAACAAGCAAAAAAAAAAAAAACCAAAAAAAAAAAAAAAACCAAAAAGCGAGAGCCCAGCCCTCTGTCACCTGAGTGGGAAAGAGGGTGAAGGGGTCAGTGGGGAAGGGGCTGCAGGACGCCCCACGAGGCTTTTAACCCTAATGTGGCCGAGGCAACCACCTTATTTGTGCTAACAAGAAGTGTTTTGTTCCTTATTACCGTGATTAACATTAGTATCGGTGTCGGTAACAAAGCTGAAATCACATATTTAGGATTTAGATCTGATTAAAAAAAAAATGCTGGGGTGGATGTTCCAATTGGAGCAGGAGAAAAGGGAATGAAAACAGCGTGGGGAGGGGACAGCCAAATCCGGTTCCTCGCTGGCTCCTGGATGTCATGTTCTCTCTTTTTGGGGGTGGCCAAAAATCGACCGGTGTCGGGACACGAGGCGGCCCCCGCGCGCCTCGTCTGTGCGTCCACGGGAGTCCGTGCAGACCCGGACGCCGCGCCACCGGGGCGAGCTGACGGGAGTTTGCGGCTGCGATAGACCATGGAGATGTCATGGGCGCGACAGAGCCTGGCGGGGATACCAGCAGCGTGTGTGTGTGGACGGCAACGTTGTCTGTGCGCGCGTGTGTGTGAGTGAGTGAGGGAGAGAGAGAGAGAGAGAGAGAGAGAGAGAGAGAATAGGTGTGTGCTCAGGCTCTGGGTGCCTCTGTCTGGCTGCTGAGGCTGAGATGGGAGCGAGCGACTGGCTCGGCTGGCGGTGGCTCCAGACCACACTTTCGTAGAACAATCACGAGAGAAAATTGTCGTGGGAGGGGGGGAGGAGGAGGAGGAGGAGGCGGCGGCGATTTTTTTCTTGTGCCCCCCTTCTAACGCTTCTTTTCTCCTTTTCTCTTTCCCCCTCACCCCGTCTTCCCCTCCTCCCGTCCTCCCTCGCCCCGCATGCTCCCGGCTTGCCGCCTGCAGGATGAGTTCCACCCGTTCATCGAGGCGCTGCTGCCTCACGTCCGCGCCTTCTCCTACACCTGGTTCAACCTGCAGGCGCGGAAGCGCAAGTACTTCAAGAAGCACGAGAAGCGGATGTCGAAGGACGAGGAGCGGGCGGTGAAGGACGAGCTGCTGGGCGAGAAGCCCGAGATCAAGCAGAAGTGGGCATCCCGGCTGCTGGCCAAGCTGCGCAAAGACATCCGGCCCGAGTTCCGAGAGGACTTTGTGCTGACCATCACGGGCAAGAAGCCCCCCTGCTGCGTGCTCTCCAACCCCGACCAGAAGGGCAAGATCCGGCGGATTGACTGCCTGCGCCAGGCCGACAAGGTGTGGCGGCTGGACCTGGTCATGGTGATTTTGTTTAAGGGGATCCCCCTGGAAAGTACTGATGGGGAGCGGCTCTACAAGTCGCCCCAGTGCTCGAACCCCGGCCTCTGCGTCCAGCCACATCACATTGGAGTCACAATCAAAGAACTGGATCTTTATCTGGCTTACTTTGTCCACACTCCAGGTAGGTCACTTCCAAGCCCGGGGCCCCCCCCCCCATTTTATTTTACTCGCTGGCATTTGTTTTGTGTACGGTTCCTCTTCTTTCCGAGGGATGCAGGCAGTAGGCCTCACGAGTGCGCCTGTCCTGCCCAGGGCTGCAGCGTGTCTGATGTTCCCTGTTCCCTTCTTCCGTTTCCCTCCACGCTCTCCATGCTCCCTCTTTTGCTCCCTTGCCACGTTACCTGCGGGGTTGTCGGGCCGTCTCCGTCTTTGGAGGACTCATCTTACCCCAAAGGCGCTGCAGGTCTCAGGACTGGGGCCAGGCTGCCCCAGAATTATCCACCAGGGTGAGAGTTGGTGATGAACACTACTGCACACAGACAAAAATCACTCGTTGCTCAGATTTAAAATGAGTCAGAAGAGGCACCGGGAGCCAGGTGCTGGCTTGCCTGCGGCTTCCCCGCAAGTCCTGGGGAAAAGCGGGATTTGGCACAAGCCGGGTGGGCAGCGGTTCGGTGGAGAGAGGGGCGTGTAAAAGCCCGGGTTATGAGCCAGAATGAATAGAAAAGAGGAGAGAAGGCAGAGGTGGGCAGATTCTGGGGCCCAGATGCCCAGTCCGGAGCCGGAGCCGGAGCCGTTTGGGCTGGGATCGTTGGGATTTGACTGTCGGAGAGTAGGAAAGTCATTTGACTTCACAGAGAGTGAAAAGGCGCATGAGATTCCTTCCGCTCTCCCCTCCGAGGCGAGGCGTGCCGGCTGAAGTGGGGAGACCCCAGGATGGATGCCCACGGCCCCCCCACCCCTCTGCTGGGAAGCGGAGAGGCAGTCCCCAGCACAGGCATGTCCGGGAGTGGCGTAGTTGCAGCAGTGGTCTGAAAGGAACAAACAATCCAAAAACTCTGTAAATTTCCCTTTTCCTTTTGTGTTCCAAGCAGTTCCACTTCTCCGCTTTGCTTTTCCAGTTTTGCCCAGCATTTTGGGTCGGGGTGGTTCAGTTCTCTTCCTCCGTTCCTTCCCCCCACCCTTTCCCTTTTTATAATTTCTTTCCGCTTTTGTTTTCTTACAAATTGAAACAGAGATGGCTGGTTAATTTTTAGCCTCCACTCAGCTACGCCCAATTTACTGCCGCCTTTGAAACCTAAACGGGCGGCACTCTGTGATTAAGCAAGGCAGAAGTGTGTTTACATTATGCCCAACCAACTTGTAATGAGAGGGCTACCAAACCTTTTTCTGTGTGTGTGTGTGTGTGTGTGTGTGTGTGTGTGTGTGTGTGTGTCTTCCTTCCTGTTCATTCATAAAAAAGAAAAGCAACTCACTTTTCTGCTGTGGTCACTCCCTTGCCCGTTTGGGAAGTTGGGAGGAGTCGTATGACTTAATCCAGAAATGAAATTTTGGGGAACTTTTAGCATTGCGTCGGGAAAGTAACTTCCACTAGGATTAGCACTGAGGGTTTCTATGTTGGCGAACTCTGGGGATGAAAAGGTGGTATTTGAGGCCTCTCTCCTTACTCACACTCTCTCTCATTCTGAGAGGTGGCTTTGATAGTTTGTTGGAGGCAGTGGACATCCCCCTCCCACCGCCCCCACAGCCATTCCTCCCTCCGTGGATCTTTCTAGGCTTGCACTTGGCCCGGTGTGACTATCGTGACCCCTCATGAAGAAACAAGATTTAAAGTTATCCTCTCATTCTCTGTCTCTACAGCAAGTCGGAGTGGGGAGGGTGTGTGCCTGGTAGTGCTGAAGGGAGCTTGGGGGAGGCTTGGAGCCTTGAGTTTGTGTCTGTCAGATAGATCCTCTGCAAGGGCATTCTGTACCTTCTGATTTTAGAACTAGGGCCGCTGAGATGGAAATCAATACTCACCTCTCTCTGGCTTCCTCCTACCCTGCTCTCTAGCTAGATCCCTGTAGCCGAGCTGTTTCCCTGGACTCTTTTATTTTAGGCCAAATTCTTTAAAAAAAAATTTTTTTTTAACATTTATTTATTTTTGAGACAGAGAGCATGAACAGGGGAGGGTCAGAGAAAGAGGGAGACACAGAATCTGAAACAGGCTCCAGGCTCTGAGCTGTCAGCACAGAGCCCGACGCGGGCCTCGAACCCACGGACTGCGAGAGCATGACCTGAGCCGAAGTCGGCCGCTTAACCGACTGAGCCACCCAGGCGCCCCTATTTTAGGCCAAATTCTTGACGGCTGCCAGCATGAGGCTAAGGTAGGATGAAATGTGTGTGAGGAAGGAGACCGTTTCTGGCCAGCCTCCTGGCTCCTGGACTAACCAGGCAGGTGTCTGTCGTGAGAAAGGAGGCATCCCCGCCCGCCCCCCAGCTATAATGAGATCATTTGCCCAGGAATATGAGTGAATTCATTGCCCCATCGAATGCGGCTGCGGCCATGTCTGTCCCGGCTGAGGTCTAGTTCCTTGATAAAAGCTGAGTGGAGAACTGGGGATATTTCAAAAGAATTCGTCTATACTCTAGCTCCCTGGACTCCAGATGGTTTCGACGAAGGTAGGATTTCTTGCTGGAATTGCTTTAATTCACATGTGCCTTCCTGAAGGAGTAGGGGTGAATTGGTGCAGCATGGGCCTTGGGTAGATGGTCTCAAGATAGTGAGGTGCAGCCACAGCCTTCTCCCCAAGCCACCTCAGTTGGCTAGAAAATGTCTTCTTCTGGCCGAGCCCCCAAACAGCATGGATCTGACAGCACAGCCTTCTCCTGCCCATGCTCCCTCCCCCCCCCCCACCCCTGGACATGCTCAGCAGGGTGCCCCTTGCTCCTTCCTCCTGGTATAAACCAGGAGCAGGGGCTAGGGTGGCAAGGTCTCAGCTGAGAGTTGCTTTGGATTCTTAAAGTACGTTTCTTCCCCTAAGACTGGGTTGAAGGACGCAATCTGGGCCGAGCTGGCGGTGCCGGGTTTGGTGACAAGTGAACTTGACACGGTGGTAAGCATGGGGGCGTTGCTTTACCTCCAAGTGCCATCATCATCCGTGGCCCTCTTGTGTTTTTGTTTTGCCCCACTTGAAGCTTCGAGAGGTGGCATGGCTGGGGAGGAAATAAAGGACATGTGTGCGTGTGCGTGTGCGTGTGCGTGTGCGTGTGTGTGTGATGTCGGGAGCTCCACTCCCAGAGCGTGGGGTCCAAAAGACCGCCCAGGGTGTGTTACGGCCTCTTGAGCGTGGCCTTCCTGCTGGGAAGGAATCTTGCCATGCGTTTGTGCCATTCGGGAGGGGAGGTTGAGGCAGAGTGGGGTCAGAGAACCCGGCCATGGGGAGTAGTGGTGCGTTCCCGGTGATGTCCTTCCATCCAAAGAGGTTGCCCGAAGGCAGGTGGTTGGAGATATAGGCGAGCGTGGGTCTAGGAGGCCTCTGCTTGTGTGTGAGGAAGGATGGCTGAGCTGGTCCAGAAGTGCTGCTGGGCTATCTCCAGAGCTGCTTCTGCAGGGCTTTGAAGGTGATCTGGTATCTTCGGACCTGCCCTAACCTAGGCTTCGGTCCTAGAAGATGGAAAAAGCTGGGGCGCCCGTCTGACTCAGCCTGTAGAGCATGTGACTCTTGATCTTGGGGTTGTGAATTTGAGCCCACAACGAGTGTAGAGATTCCTTAAAAGTTAAAAAAGAGTCTGAAAGTAATAAAAAGCTTCACCGAATGGAAATGTCAGCTTCTCCCTGTCGGATTCCTCCGACAGGCCCCAGTGGAAGCCCGTGAAGTCCAGATACTCGGGTGGTGATTCTTTTCTTTATCTCGGCTTGTTCACGATGGAGAAATTCACATGTAGAAGGAGCCCCCATCACCAATGCCGGTAGTTGCTGACTGACTTACGGTCAGGCTCCACTCACTCATCCATACCCCCCACTGCCCACCCACGCTGGGTTGTTTAGAAGAAAACCCAGGCATTGTAGCTTTTCATCTGTAAATATATCTGTGCATGTCTCTAAAGATGAGGAGTCTTGAAGAACGCAACCACGCTATCACTATACCTAAAAATAATCAGCCGTTTCTTCAGCATGGTCAGGCTAGTCAGCGTTCACATTTCCCTAATTATCTCCCAGTTTTGTTTGTCTGGGTCAGGATCAGAATCAAAATCAGAATCAGGTGCACACAGGGGCGCCTTGCTGGCTCTGTTGGTGGAGCATGGGGCTCTTGATCTCCAGGTCGTGAGTTCAAGCCCCATGCTGGGCGTAGCGCTTACTTAAAAGAAAAAAAAGAAAGGAAGGAAGGAAGAAAATCAGGTGCACGCATTGCGACGGGTCGATAATGTCTTTCAGACTCACAATCTCTAGGCGGTCCTCCTCCACCTTGGTTTCTTTTCTGGCAGTTTTTGGGTTGTTGCTGTTGAAGGAAGTGGGTCATTTGTCCTGTAGGGTTTCTCCATCTGGGCTCTGCAGACTGTGCTCCCCTGGGTTGTTTGTGCAACACTCTGAAAGGAGATTCTGCCTCCCTCCTCGCCTCCGGGTCCTGGGACGGCCGGACCTTACCTGTCGCAGGAAATGGATTAGCACCTAAGGATTTGTCTAAGTGAACTTTTCTAAGCGCACCGTCACCCTTCTCAGGTGTAAGAGTTCCCTGGTTTTGCTCTCTGCTTCAGACCTCGGGGCTTTGCAGTGAGTCCTGGTTTTCAGGTCCGAGGGAGGACTCTTCCTCTGGGCCCTTCCATGGTGGTACAGGGTGTCGTTCGGCCATGTTAGCCCTGCCAAGATGCAGATGATGCCAGCGATGCCCCTAAGCCTTTGCTGGACCCTCGGCCCATCTGGTGGCTCTGGTGGCAGTGCATGGGAGAGACCACAGGAGCGCCAGCCGCCTTCCTGGGGGACTGGCCCCTAGCGCAGCCTCTGGGCCACCTCACCCACTGCCTCTTTTTTCAAGGCCCAGAAATGCCACTGGTGTGCGTCGTTGAGGCAGCACCATCTGGTACCAGGGCTGGCGTAGACTGCAGGGCCCAGGAACCAGATTCGTAAGACTCGCGAGAGGCGCGGATCATCTTTTAACCCAACGTAAGGTCCCCTTTAGAACATCCTGGAGGAGGTGTCAC